GGAAAATTTTTATTTTTGATTATTTATAAAAATGGAAAAGGGTGGCTTTAAATATTTAAAGTAAAAAGAAAATAAAAGAGAGAATACCTAATTTTACAAAGTAATTAAATTTTAAATCACACCTCACTTTTAGACAAACTTTTGAAGCTTAAAAATAGAGTTTCACCGGAAGTTCCGGAAAGTTCCGGCGTTTTTTGATTCCGGTTAAAATCTCGGTTCCGGTGAAACACATAAAAAGTCAGTGTCTTATGAGGGGGTATCCAATATCGCTTAGATAGCTCCTCCTCCCCAACTAATTTTTAAACTCAAATTGAAGTATATTTACTTATTATCGAGATATTTAACTTCTAAAAACCCCCCAAAATAATCTTCCCCTTCTTCAAAAAAAAAACAAACAAACAACCCACCTTCCTTTGTGTAGCAACAAACAATCTTGCAACAAAAATCTAATTTGTCTCAATTCATCCAAAAGTTGATTGTTGTTTCCATTTCCTCCCCCTCCTCCACAATTATTTTCTTCAAAAAAGAAAGGCCTTAAAGGAAGGCAATGAAGATCAGAAGCAGCAAATACCGGCAATTTCCCTTCTTTAATTAATTTTTCAAAATTAATCAAAATTTCTTCACACAAAAATTGTTTATTATTTTCTTTTTCAAAATTTAAATTTTCTTTTTTCTCTCCAACAAAATTCCAAATTAATTCGAGCGAATGACGAAAAGATAAAGTTGAAAAATTATTTAATAAAATTGTTTTGATTTGTGGAAGGGAACGGAAATTGTTGAAAAAACATAAAAGGGAATCGACTACAACGGCATTTTTAATAGTTTTTAAAGTTGTTGGTTCTGGTGTGATACATTGATGAATTGATTGTTGGGGGATATTCATGACTTTTTTTGTTGTTCTAAATTAAATTTAAAGAAAATTGAACAATGATTTATTTATAATTTCTAAAACAATTTTTAAAATTAATAAATTAAGATATTCCAGGGGTAAATAGCTTCTATGTATAAACATACATAGGTATTTACCAGGGGTGTGCCGAAACGGATTTTAAAAAGCGAAACGCGAAATGCGAAAAGCGAAATTAAATTTAAAAAGCGAAACGCGAAAAGCGAAAAGCGAAAGTCATTTAAAAAAAGCGAAATGCGAAAAGCGAAACTCGCACACCCCTGGTATTTACGTCTTTATCAGGGCTATATAATTTTGAATTTCTAAAAGCGGAAGAAAATACAGCCCTGGTCTTGATCCACCTTAAATTAGCGTTAAATTTAATCTTTTCCTCAAAAATTAAATTTAGGTAATGTGAACTTATGTGATTAAGACGTTATTATAGAATCTATTAAGATCAAGCGAACGACGAAAAGAAATCATATTTTTATTCGAGAAAGAATTTTATGCGCCAAATTTTTTAATTATTTTTCTTGAAAATGAAAAGAACGAGAAGATTTTGACGGATTCACACGAAAAAATTTATTCAACCAGATAAAGATTTATAATTTATTAGATTGAGTGATTAAACTTGAGGGAGGGCTTAAACTCTCTATTTATTTAAATCTGCTGTATATCTCGTTAACCCTAAATTTCCAAAAAATGCTAAAAAATGCCAAACGAGATATGGAGGGAGTTCTCACTTAAAGACTATCGAAATTTCTAATAATTAATTTGAAATTATTAAAAAATAAAGGGAATAAAATAAAATTTTAGAGGAAAATCAAATGGGAGAGGAAATAGAGAGATTCAATATAATTCTCTCATTTATTAAAATAAAACCATTAAAAAAGGACAGATAGGAGGAATGTTGTAAATTATATATTTTATTTTTTGCTTGCTATGCGCCCCTCATCATCATCATTTAAAAAGAGTTTTCACTCGACTCTAGGCCATCCCTTCCTTCCTTTACCCCTATCATCTTTTTCAATCATTACCACATATCTTTGGCCGCATTCCTCCGCCTTTTTTTCTCCCTCCTCGAAATGGCCAACCGACCGAGCAGACTTTTAACTTTCATTTGCTTGGACTAGAGGGAAATTGAAAATGAGAAAAAAAATATAAAAATGCTAGTGCGTGTTATATAATATCTCTCTATCGTATTTGTGGAGGCGACGGAACTTTGTTCGAAAATGAGCCGCCACCCGAACAATTTTTACTTTAGTCAGTCTGCGTTGATTTGGCGAGGGAATGAATAGAGGAATAAATAAATACATAAAAGAGAAAAATGAGGAGGGAAGAAAAAAAGGAGGGCGGTGACTGGCTGGTGATATTGCTGCTTTAGTTTATTGAAGGGATGGGCGGATGTTGAAGTTAGCAGAGTTATTTAGCAGCAACAGCGTGAGAAGAGAGAGAGGGGTTGACGGGAACAACGGATGCTTAAAGGGAATAAATAAAAATATTTATTTTGGATAAATGAGTGAGGAGGGAATAAAGGAATAAATAGCTGGCGTGAATATAGGGAAAAGGGGAGTTGAATTGGAAGAAGAAACTCTTCCATCTATGATAATGGAAGAGAATTCATCGTGATGTAACCGTTAAAGCGCGCATCAATTCCTAAAATATAAAAATTGGCCAAATAAATGATCATTAGGTCTTGGGTACCAACAGTGTATTGAATTACATGTAGGTTAACTGTCCTGAAATTATCCCCTCTACTTTTCTGTTTACCCATAGATAAAGTGATTGGAGTTAATGTTGGTCGTAAGGTTAGAGATCGGATAAAAGAGGACAGCAGATAAATAAAAAAAACAAGCAGCTGATAATAGAGGGTGAAGATTATTAGAGGATCGAAGGGGTGGAAAAGAAAAAATTTAAAAAATCGCGGAAGTTAACCGATCGCTTGCCTTTTTCAGTGTTTGTTAATTATCCTTTGGTGTAATATTTAGAAGTAACTTAAAGTGGACAATTTACTATAACGTTTGACAACATAGACGTTTTATAAAAAGGTATTATGGTTCTAATATTTTGACGGTTTTATGGTACTGTCTTATTAGTAATCTTGATAGCTGTCAAATGACAAAAGGTGACGATTATTAGAAGATCGAAAACATTAAAGGGTTACCGACATAAGCAATACAAACTTTTTTCAAACTTAAAATTTGAGTCAAAAATTTATTTTTATTTAATTTATTTGCCTAGAATCCCTTCAATTAGATTTAAGCCGAAATTTTACTCGAATTTAAAAAGGTCGAATTGAACTTTATTTTGATCAGTCCCTATTAAAAATAATGTTTATTTTAAAATAAATAAATTCTCTTACTTAGTGGAAATGATAAATATGTATGGGGAGGTACACGTTAGAAAATACAATTTTCTTTTTTTTTTGGCAATGGTTTGGCTAATGTTGAACATTCATTGATAAACTTATTGGTTCGAAGTCTGGATTTATTGGCTTATACAGCAACAGGGATGGAACGGGTTGAGAAAAAGAATGCCATCCTTCCATTTCTATTAGTGTCCTAAAAATAATCTATTCTTGTCAAAAAATTAAAATAAATTTTTATGACTCAAATAAGGATCGGGACTAGGATATTAAAAAATAACCATATTTTTTAGCCCAAGAACCAAAAACACCAACATTAGGCTTTAAGAAATTTTTAAGGAGAATCATTTAAATATTTAAAAGTTACTTTTCAAGATTTTGTGTATCCCTTCTTTCGATTTATCTCGGTAAAGCTGAATTCCCCAAAAAATTAAAGCTGAATTCCCCACACAAACATCAATTTTACTGCCTTCTTCCTTCACAACTTTACTTATTTTGTTATTGGATGTTGTAATGGAGTTGAGCAACTATTAATTAATAAAAGTTTTTATAAAATTTAAAAACTTTAAAAACACACGCCATTGATTTGGTCCTCATTAGGCGTTGAAAACGTGTAACGTATATGCTCAAATAATTACCCTGGGTAATTATTGTTTCGACCTTTCGCTGGAGGGGGTAATTATTAAAGAGGGTAATTATTCGAGCATATACGGTAGTTAAATAAATTTGTTTTGTAGTAGAGCGGAATAAAATAAAAATTGTATTGTTTTAAAGATTGATCAAGAGAATAATTTCCCGGCTTCAAGTGAATTCTAAATTAAGCTCTTTAAAACAATACAATTTTTATTTTATTCCGCTCTACTACAAAACAAATTTATTTAACTACCGTATATGCTCGAATAATTACCCTCTTTAATAATTACCCCCTCCAGCGAAAGGTCGAAACAATAATTACCCAGGGTAATTATTTGAGCATATACGGTACACGTTTTCAACGCCTAATGAGGACCAAATCAATGGCGTGTGTTTTTAAAGTTTTTAAATTTTATAAAAACTTTTATTAATTAATAGTTGCTCAACTCCATTACAACATCCAATAACAAAATAAGTAAAGTTGTGAAGGAAGAATGCAGTAGAATCGATGTTTGTGAGGGGAATTCAGCTTTAATTTCTTGGGGAATTCAGCTACTGGGGAATCCAGCTTTACCGAGATAAATCGAAAGAAGGGATAAACCTGCACAAAATCTTAAAAAGTAACTTTTAAATATTTAAATGATTCTCCTTAAAAATTTCTTAAAGCCTAATTTTGGTGTTTTTGGTTCTTGGGCTAAAAAATATGGTTATTTTTTAATATCCTAGTCCCGATCCTTATTTGAGTCATAAAAATTTATTTTAATTTTTTGACAAGAATAGAAGATTATTTTTAGGACACTAATAGAAATGGAAGGATGGCTTTCTTTTTCTCAACCCATTCCATCCCTGTTGCTGTATAAGCCAATAAATCCAGACTTTGAACCAATAAGTTTATCAATGGATGTTCAACATTAGCCAAAAAAAAAGAAAATTGAATTTTCTAACGTACATATGTAGTTACCTCCCATATTTATCATTTCTACTAACAATAAGGTTAGAAAAAAATTTAATTGAACTTCTTTCCAAATTCAGTTAAATTTTTGGCTAAATCTATTTTGAAGATATTTTAGAAAAATCAAATTAAAGTCAAAATTAACATTTCAAATTAATATTTTGACAATAAAATGAAAAACAACAAAAGAATATTATCTAAAATAACCAAAATGTCCTTAAATTTTTTTCAACAAAAATTCTTTCCAAACCTTCAAAATTTAAACCAAAACCTCTTCTTTAACAACTTCCTTCTTCAAAATAGTCACAACAGCAACAGTTTCCTTCTCCCCTTCAACTTCCTCCTTTTTACCCAACAAATCATCTGGAGTTTGCGATTGGACAGATTCTGTCAGTTCCGAAGGTGTACTATTTTGTGAACGTGCATCTTTTAAAGTCTTGATGATTTGACGTTCATAAGTCTTCAGAGCTCTAAAAATATTTTTAAAAATTTAGAGAAAAACAATTTTTAAATTTTCTTTCGTTGTCCGTAAAATAATTAAAAAATATTTTCCGATTAATAAATTAAATTTAAAAATAAATTGATAAAAAAGGTATAATTAAAAAATTCAGCTCATAAAACAGTAAGTGAAGGAAAGGATAGCCACAGGCAGGCCCGTAGCCAGGAAAAAAGGGGAAAGGGAAACATTGCCGGCCGACTTTGGGCGAATATTGCTAGGAGCATCGGTCACAATGCTCTACCGGTTAACAACAGGTACAGAATAACACTTGATACCTGTCCACATTTAAACGGGAAGGTCATTTTTTCCCAGTTCTCAACGGAAGGAATTACCCCCTCACGCCCTGTTTTCTTCAAAACCCCAACTACTTGTTTATGGTTCACTTTCCCCAGGTAACATACTAACTCTAACATCGCTTCCTCCTTTTAAAGATCCCCAAACCTAATCATTCTAAATGTAGCCAACCCAAAAATACTTTTAAATAAGAAACAAACTTTTTAAAGTCCTTCATTTGTTTAGCATTAACTTTTTGTAAATCCTCAATAGAAGCAATTTGCAATTTAACTTCGTCCAATTTAGAAAGAGCCTCAATCTGTTTGGAATCCAATTTTAAAGCACCAGATTCTTTGTCGGTTTTAAGTTGTTGAAGACGCAACTGAAAAGACGAAAAAAAAGCAGTTAATATCAAATACTCAAGGGGTTATTAGGGGGTGATTCTGAGGTGCTATAATGGAGTGTGCGCCAAACCTTTGGCAAAAGATAACCCCAATACTAGATACACATCAATTTAAAATACTTAATTTAATCTCTATATTCTCTCAAAAAATTAATTTACCTCCCGCTTTTTAAGATTACGCAATTTATGTTCAAGCGCAGTCTCCATTTGAGAAAAAGGATTAACCAAAATTTCAGGCTTTTCAACAGAAATTCCCATTTTTTGAAGAAAATAACAAATAAAATAGAAATTTATATTCAAATTTGAGAAAGTTTAAACTTAAAAATAATTAAATTAAGTAAAAAATAAATTTAAAAACAGCTAGTGAAAAGCAAATTCGAACAAAATTTAAAGAAAAGTAAAAAAAACATTATGCCAAAATTATTTTAAATACGGACATTTTATCCAATTTTGTCGCGAATATTTATTTTTAAATTTGTTTAAAAAATTTTAAATTTCATTCATCGACTGACTTGAAATCAACTGATTTTAAATTAATAAGAAGGAAAATAAAAGAACAAAAATTCAAAATAAGGTCAAATTTAAATGTTTTTTTTTGCATCATACCTAATGGGAAAAGGCAATAAACTCAAATGGATTTTATTTGACTTAATGAATTTGTAAATTGTTAATACATATAAAGAATAATAAGAAAATTTGCCATTTCGAGCTTGAGGAAAGAAGGAAGAAAAAATGATTCCGCCCTTCTTTGGCGTATAGTACCAAATTGTTAACCCCATTCAATGTAGCAACAAGAACAGAATTGTGGTGATTTTGGCTGAATGATTGAACAAAAAATTCATCAATATATTCACAAATTCGATTCGGTGATAATTCTTGATCGCCGACTCCATGTTCATTAATATGCTTATTAATTAATGTAAGTCTAACCCTATATGACCATCCTTTATATCAAATTTCTTATACATATTATATCAAATCATATTATGGGTAAATGTTTTTTCTTCATTATTCAGGGTTGATCACAGTTATTTTGATCACAGTTATTTTGATCTTATAAGAAAAAGAGATAAGAAAAAATTGTGGGGATTATGGGATGTAAACTACACAAACACCAAAAAAGTACTTAAAATGTCTAATTTAAAACTGTTAAAAAATTCATCGTACCTTATAGAAGGTAAATTAACTTTTCAAAAAAATCCACCACATACATAATTAAACTTACAATTAGCCTCTTTAATTATCTCTATATTGGATACCTATAACAGGTGACAGAAGATTTTATTTATTTTTAAAAAATAATAATTTTATTTTATTTAAAAATATTTATTCTTAAAAAAGCAAAACACACATTAATTTGTTATGCGCAATTATTTTCTCTTTTAAATAAATAAAATAGTTCTTTACCCAAATTATTAAACAGAAAAAAAACTTTAAAAATATTCTTTGGCCAATTAATTTATTTCTTTCATTTTATTCATTTTTTGGCTTTTTTATATTTTAGATTGACATATTTTTTTCTTTTAATTTTATATATCAGTCAATCTCTTTCTGAATGAATGTCAATTTTTCTTATCACAAAAATTTTATAAAAATTATTTTAAGCTTTTTTTGGCTTTTAATAAGCAATTATTTTTTTATTAAATTACCTTTATCTTTTCATTTTAATTATTTTACTAATGAAGCAAGGGGCTTTAAAATCAGAAATAATAATTAAATCTCATCCTTCAATACACACCTGAGACGGAACAATTCATACATATCATATGTATGTATAAGAAGGTGTAGCTTAAATAGAGATTGTCGCTTCACTAAATTAAAAATACCTGGCTAATATTTTATAAGAAATTATTTTAAATTTAAGTGTATCTTGCAGTTAGGTCTGACTTCTCTCTAATTATAACGTCAGTGGGGATATTTTTGTATATCCATTATTAATCCCACTAAACAGCCTCAAACTTTATGCTCTCCAAAACTTTCCTCGTTACCCTCATTTAAAATTTTATTTTCTAAAGGGGGTCATTAAATAATATTTTTTTAATTTTTTAAATAAAAAACAAAAATAAATTAATTAATATTTATTTAATTTTTGATAAAAAAAATTTTGTAGGCATAAACAATTTTTACTGATACAACACTTCCTTCCTTTCACTTTTTTTCTTATCAGTATTTACTTTTTTTATTTTATTTATTAGCTTTTAAAATATTAAGAAAAACGGAAAATTTTGTCATTTTTAATTTTTACTTTTCATTTAGTAATTGTCAATGGGGGATGTTACGGCGCATAGCAGCTACAATAAAAATTCTAATAAATCTCTGAAATTTTTAAATAATTCTCAATTTTTGCTTTAACTTTATAATAATCTAAATAATTTCCCAATAAATTTTCGAATTTGTTTTTAAATTTCGATAGTTGTGCTTCCAAGTAAAAAATCTCGATTTTTGAGACCTCTAAATATCAAAGAAAAGGTCTCCTTTAGTGAAACCTAATACTTTAATTAGTGTAAATCCTCTAATTGAACCATATGTGCTTCTATTTTTTCTGCTTCTATTAGATGATTTATGGGGTCTACTACATACCGATAATTTTTATTTACTTCACATTCAACGTGCCATTTCCTATAATTTTTAAAAACTTTTATTAAACCTTACCTAAAATTTTTTTCAGAGAAAAGGAAAGAAATGATTTTATTAAAAATTTTATCAAAAATAATTTTATTCTTATTAATTCAACAAATAATAATAATTAAATCTTCTTCTAATCCCTCTCCTTATTTTATTATTGAAACTGCTGATGAAATAAAAGAAGATTCATTATCAGCATCCTCCTCAACTTCTTCCTCTTCTTCAAGCGATTCCTTCTCAGAAGAAACTTCTGTAGAAAAAGAAGATGATGGAGAAGAAGAATTTCCTTTAGAAAATGTTGCAGATTGGCAACCTCCCACAGTTTGCCCGAAAGGGCAATTTCGTTCAAATGGAGGAAATTGTAAACAATGCTCTGTTTGTGGAAAATATTTATTGTTGGTTTTTGTCTTTTAAATTTAATGAAATTAGAGGAGTTGGAGCTTGATTGAAAGAAGAGACTGATATCAAAGAAATCTCTCTTGTGAAATCTCGAATGAGATAACCGGCTAATTTTGAATGGGATACCTCCATCCTTCCAGTATTAACTGTGTTCATAGGGAGATCGAAAACTTGTGTTAGGCTAACTTGTTTATTCCTTTAGTATACAAAATTTTGTTATCTTGTAAAATAGCCAAATCCAAATCCAATAATGTACAGTCAAAAGCCAAATCTCTATAACGGCAAAACTAAGTAGTGTTCTTTATAGCAAACTCTTTTGTTTATCAAATAATATAGAGCTCGGGGATATAAGGCCAGACTTAGGTTATAATGACAATTGACTTTTAATTTTTTTATTACAGCGAAAAGAAGCCTTGCCAGTCCGATCAAGATGTTCAGGTAAAAAATAAGAAATTACGGAAAAAAATTTTTATTTTTATTAAAGTGTGAATTTTGTATAACTGGATGGAGAGAATTTGGAAATAATCGGGATTTTGAAATTAAATGTGCCCAAATGATAAATATTCGAAAAATATTTCATCGTCAACTTAATGAAAGGAAAATTCAACAACAAAATCAACAACAGCAAGCAAATGGAGATTTATGGAAGAAAATAACAATGGCTTTTCCTTCTGGTAAAATTTTGGGTGTTTATTTAAAGTTGAAAGCTAATTACTGTCAGTATATCACTCCTAAAATAATACAACATCAATCTTGTTAAAATAATAATAATCTCGATTGACTCCTAAGGATGAAATAAGGGTGTAAAACTGAAGGTATAGCGTAAACAGCCCATCACTAGTGGCGCAAATAGAATATTACAGGGCCAGAAAACCCTGGTCAGAATCCTGCCGTTGTCCAAACGCTAGCAAATTCCCCGTGTCTTTATTTAAAATCCACTATAGCCCGGATTTTATGAAATAGAATTTAAGTGGATGGGTTTCTTCCTTGTACCTTCTTAAACAAGAATTACTCGATGGCATAGAAATTTCCCTCCACAAACTTCCTAAAAAATAATTTACCTATTTCTTTAAAGAATCCACTTATTTATTCCGTTTTGTTGGCATTAACAACAGCAAAGAAAGCGATAATTGGTGGAAACTTGAATTGGCCGTCAAAATTGGATTTTATTTAAGTTTAATAACTTTAATATTAGCTATAATTCGCTATGTTTACAAAAAGAAGTTTTCCTCTTCAAAAAGAAGTCTTTACCACACAGTCCAAGTTAAAAGCCCCCCAGAAATGGAAGAATTTCAAGAAAAAGATATTATTAGAGCGGCAGAAAGTATTCGACAAAAATTGGGGAAAAAAGATTATGAACGACTTCAAGAGGAATTTATTTAAATTTGGAAAAGTGTAGAGAAGACTTGTGACTAGTCAATAATTGAGAAGAAGCTATTATATAAGCAAATAAATAAATTATATTAATCAAACACAAATATTCACGTTTTAATAATTAAACTGCAATAAATTGTTTTTTATTTAATAAAATTAAATATTTAGTTCTGATTACGTTTTGGAGAGTTTTGTTGTTCATAAAAGGGAAAGGGATTTGAAAGAATTTTTTTATTTTTTCGTTGAATAAAACCAAATTCAACAACATAATCAATGGTGTTTGGATAAAATTTATTGTAACCTCTTATATTCTGTCAAAGAGGAAAATAGTGCCAATATTTGAAAAATATTTAAAAAAAATTTTTAAATATTATAACAATTAAAAAATAAATAAAAATATTGCCGCCTATGAGGAGGAAGTCGTTCCCAGAAGCAGATATAAGTATTCTACTTACAAGTTCATTAATCCTCAAATTTTTTCACAAATACTCAAAGCTTTTAATATTTCGTCTTTGCTCATCTACTTCACATTAAATACTCCTCCATCCAAAATAAAAAATCCTTAACATCCCATCAACCAAAAAAGAAATCGGAACGTAGATTCAAAATAACTTAGGGGGTTTTATAATAAATTGACAGCATGAATAAATTATGTAAATGGGAAAAAATACCCATACCATACCGTGCGCCCACATGAGGTCCCTCTAACCGGCGCCCAAGTGGGCTCTCTACTTTTCGATTTGGTCATTTTGTTGTTAATTTATTTTTTGCTTTAATTTTATAAAATTTTATTTATTTTTTACAAATTCCCAGCTTTTTTAAATGTCAATAATTTATTTTGATTTTCGTCGTCAGCGACAAATTTTTATTTTTTTAAATGTTATTTTCTGGGTTTGAATTTTTATATTTTTTTCCATTTTTTTTTATTTTTTTTAATTTAAAGGCATTTGGATGGGGTGCTTTAGTTGCAGGAATATGGCTTTATTTACAGAAAAATATTTATTCAATTTTGGCACCTAGCAGCTATTCGGTTTTTTCTTTAATTTTTAAAAATTATTTTTTAATTTTAATTTAGTCAATGTCCGCAGCTGGTCTCTGTGCTGCTGTTGGTGCAATGGTTTTAATTATTTCTCTTGTTGGGATTGCTGGAATATGGTTTACTTCGAGTAAATTAATTATTTCGGTTTGATTTTTTTATATTTATTTTCTGTCCGCAAGTTTTGTCCGCAAATTTAATTTTTTGCAGTTTTTGCCCAAAATACTTCAAAATATGTCCCAACTCTAACTAAATAATGAATAAAGGCGTGAAATAATTTACCATCCAAAACCCCTTCAATTCTCAAACAGAAAATTATTTGCGGACGAACTTTGCGGACAAAATTTCTAAACTTTAAACTTTTACTTTTTCAGTATTTTTGTTTTGTTCTTCTCCTTTTTATAATTCAATGTATTGCTGGTTTAATGGGTATTTTATATAAAGAAAGTGTTTATGAATATGCAAAATTGAATCTTCGACATACAATAAATTTAACTTATGGAGACAATCCAAATGCCGATCTTTTGTGGAATGCTTGGGCACAAATGCAAAGTGATGTTAGTTTTAAATATTTTTAAATTGTTTTATGAGAAAATTATAGAACACCTATTTTAACACTAATAATTTTCCATATGTTCTGTTTGAAAAATAATTTTGGTTAACCGATCGTAAGGATTTTTGTTCTTTTTATAAGGAATAAGAGAAAATCTTCAATTCTTTAATAGTCGGGCACGTTATAAGATGGACCCAATTAAGGTTAGTGGTTCCTACGAAATCTTCGTATTCCCAGATCTCCAGACTTTTCTAATTCGGAACCACCAACTTCTACACCCAATACCAGATACCCCCAATTTAAAGTACTAACAATAAATGATACCATCAATTTAAATTTCTCTCCCTCATTTTAGTGCCAAAGATGATTTTATGAGTTCCTATTAATTTTTTTAGTTAAATTGTTGTGGCGCAATTTCTCATTCCGATTGGTTTTACTATCCAGGCTGGAAGGGAAGAAAATTCGTACCAGACAGCTGCTGTAATCTAAAAGCTTTTAATCTCGATTTATTCAATCACACACAAAATTGTGGAAAAAGTTTGGAAAATTTCGACAAAATTATTTATAAACAGGTTTTTTAAAAATTTATTTCAATTTGGATAATTTTGCTTATTTTAGGGGTGTGTTGGGCCTTTTACAGATTGGTTACTTCAACATTTACAAATTACTAAATTATTAACTTTATTGCTTGGAATACTTGAGGTAAATTATTTTATTAACGATAAAAATTAAAAAAGGGGTTTGTGTTCAAACTAGTGTTCGACACGGTTCGGTATTACCAACATATTATTTAGAATATTAATACCGAAAATATTTGTTCGCCGAACACTAGGTGAGACTTCTCCCCCTAAAACGAGACGTTTTTTCCATTTTTATTGTATACTGCTCCACAAATTATAGCGCCACCCCTATCTAAACTAAAGACAGAGTTGGACACCTACCGCTCCATTTTTACGGAAATCCTGTGTCGGGTCTAACTCCCCTTTCAGGATCTAACCCCCCCTTTTTTATGAATGCAGAGTCACTAAATCTGTTTCTTCATTTCAGTTAAAATCTCTCATTTTTCAGATTCTCATTTTATTTTCTACAATGCATTTATTTCTTTATCTTCGGAAAAACAGAAAATTTAATCAGTGCAATCGTCATTCTATAGCTGATGAATTAGAGACAAACTCGTTAACAACCAATGATTATCTGAAAACTCATTCTCAAAATAGGAGATTTTGATCTATCAAATACTTTCATCTTAAAAATATGTATCTTCTCTTTATATTAGAAATCGGGCTATATCAATGGTCCATTAATTAGAATTTAGGAACTAGAGGTGGGCCCAGAGATGTTGTAAATCAAAAGAAAACATCAAAAGGGGGATTCCCACCTCCCCCCCAAGAACTTCTTCCTAAAAAACAATAAAATGCCCATCATTCTCTCCAAAGATTTTCTTTTACAAATTTTTATCAAAATCATTATTTTAATTTGCCCAAAAATCCTAATAAAGATCAGAATAAAGAAAACATAAAACTAATTTATTCGCACCTTTAAAATTTTAACAAATTGCATAAATGGCAGCAGAATTTGCTTGTTTTTAAGTATTTTATGAATTTTCTATTTTTTGGGACTTTAAAAAGAATTTAAGTATTAAAATAAAAAGTTAGCCAAGGGAAGGGGATATTAGTAAAAAAGGCTTCTTTAAATTCTAACAAACTTTTTTTTTGATTATGCACGGTTATTTGGATTTTTATTTTGAGCTTTTTTTCTGAAAAAATGCTATTTTTGGAAACTTAAATTTAAAAAGAATACCGAAAAAAGGCTCAAAACATTTTTGGGACTATTTCTCCGTAAAATTCATTTTCCTCAAATTTATTCCTCTATTTAATAGCCAATTGTGGCAAAGGTGCCTCAACAGTCAAAATTCCATCAGTGCTAAGAGTAGAGCTAAAAAGATTGGAAAATTAAATTAAATGAGTATTTATAATCTTAAATAGAACTGCCAGACCCAAGGAATAAAGGGGGCTTGTACCGAATGGAATCCTCAAAAAATTATTTTTTTCAATCGAACCCCGAATTTAGATTATTTGAACAATCAAAACTCATGGCATCTGCCATCAGATTCTTAATTATTTGGATGCAGAAATCTTTCTAGAAATGACAGCTTGTTTCGGCCCAGTACTTACTACTATACTGACCTAGAAATTGGGCTAAATCCTAACTGGATCTGGCTTTCTAATCGAGTCCAGAATCTAGCCTAAATTAGAAATTTTTGGATAATTTAGACAAAATGTAAATTGGACCGTTCCAAGCTTGCTTAGCCGAGCACCTACACTCTAATATAACCGATTAATTCAAGCAAATATTAACCTTATCATTTCTGGATTAGTGCCGCGCGGAAGCATAAATTCTTGATTATATTCACGATAAACTGTTCGGCTTGGACTCTTTTCCTCGTGTTTAGCATAAACCAACAAACGATTATCCACAGTTTTGACAGTGACTTCTTCTGGTTTGTATTGAGAAACGTCAAAACTTGAAGGGAATTTTAATAAAAAAATAAATTAAAAAAACCGAAGTCTCAAAGATTTTCCATCACTTTCGTCTCTAATAAGCGGACTTTTCAAATTATCGAAGTAAGGATCGTAAATTGGACGAGACGAGAGTAGAGTGCCACCGGTGGCTGGTGAAGAAGTACTGTAAGTACTGCCTAGACCTAAAAAATTTTTTTGAATAAATTTAAAAATGGATCCTAATAATTTTAAAATTATCCCGACAATATATTAGAAATAGAGATTTTTGAAAGGCCTGGGCCTATTCCTGGACTCTGGGGTTGATTTATTGACCTGGGCCGGTTGGGCCTGTAGTCCAGGAAAACCCCATGAAGGTCAAAAAATGCCTGGGCCCGGATCTTGGTACAAGAAAAACCCAGGCATTGGTCCAGGCCCAACTATAAAATAACACCCAATTTAAGGTAGGCTTTAAAATTTGGTTGAAACTTTCAAAAACAATATTACCTATTTGAGACATCTAATTATAAGCACAATTTTTATATAAAAGTTGAGTTCCCCAAGGACCCAATTTGAGTTCTTAATAACTTCTAGTTATTAAGCAATACTTAGGAAGGCATAAAAACCCTATAAAACTAAAAAAATACGTTGTTGTAGAAGTGGAGAAGTGCGCGACCCTGCTGGACGATAACCATCAAATTCTTGACGTAAACGCTAAAAATAATTAAAAATTTTATTTAAAATAAACTAAAAAATAACCTGCATTTCTTCGTCAACACGGCGCATTTCATTTTCAAAACGATCGCGCATTGAATCAAATTCTGAGTCCACAACACTTTTGTTACTTCTATTTACGTCAATTCGTCGTTCTCCCATTTTTTTAAATTAATTAATTTTATCTGCAAAACAAAATTGTTTTGGAGGACACGTAAACAAAAACAAAGAGAAAATATGGATAACTTTTGTAAAGGACACCCAAGTCTCGCTGTTACGCGCTCACTTACTATTTATTCGGGTGAAACTCTTTAATGATTCGGTCAATAGATCCTGCTCGGGCTTTTTATTTTTACTCGGCAAAGAATTAAAAAAGTTAGGTCAAAAAATAGGGTTTCGGGATTGACGAGATGAGCCCATTCCGGCTTTTTTTGTTAATTAAATAAAAAAACATTATGCCAATAATTTATTTATTTAACCGCAATTTTTATTATTTGGTTCATAAATATCGAATTCCTTTCCATATAAATATTGTTTTTGCTTTTGAATAAACACCAGTTAAAGGGATAACGAGCAAGGTCGTTTGTTCTAACAAAGAAAAATATAATTTAATTAGTTTTAGTTCACATATGGTTGTTTTTAAAAGAAAATCGTTTAATTCGTTTTTAGCCAAAAATAAATATAGAAAAATCGAAAATTATAATAACACTCTCTAATAGAATGGCATTAAAAATTTTTTTTCAACTCGTGTGCGAAATTTGGGTTTACAATAAAAAAAAAAAGTTATTTCGTGAAACAAAAGAAACAAGTCCATGATGGAAACCCTTTTCTAGTCCTCCCGAAATTCCCGATAACCGGGAATTTAGCTTGCGGGGAAGAAACTTGGCGCTAACCCTTTTTCCGTTGCCAATCTTTCGAGAGCCGGGCTAAGTATAGCGAAAGAGACAAGAATAAGGGAAAATCCATCCCCCTCCCCCCGTTCTCGGATTCACGGATGTGAGAATTTGGCAAAGGAACAATTGAGGAATGTGGGAAGTGTGGGGAATTTTGGTTACGAGGATAAAAACGGAAAAAATATTCTCGTCATTTTAATAAAAAAACAGGTTAAATATAAAAAAATCCACAAGATTTAAATTCTTTTAGAAACAATTTTTTAAAGAATTCGATTAGTATTTAATGGAATTCAAGTCAGTTGGCAAGTATTCACTTGATAAAAGAAAAAAATGTGTGTGACAACAGCTGGGATGTGAAAGGGCGATTTTATAGTTATTTTTTGACCATATTGTGTATTTGGGTTGGTTCAAAAATCAAAAAGCACAATTGTTAAAGAAGTAAATTTTAAGAAATTTTTTGAAAAATTATTTTACGAAAATTTATTTTTAAAGAGAATTTAATCTAAAAAGGAAAAAAATCTAGAAATGAGGAAAAATCTATTTAAAATAAAATTTTAACAATTTAACCAATGGAAGAAAATTATTTGGCTAAATTAAAATCAGTAAAATAGTGTTGAAAAAGAAGAGACGGCAGAGAAAGTTCTCTGTTTTTAGACCCGATTTTTGTTTTATTTTTTTATTCGACACCTTAATATTTTATTTTCAAGAATCTCTTTTTAATTCATTACTAATTTTTGTGATAAAAACAAAAAAAATTCAAAAATATTTTCCTCTTCCTTTACCTCATTCTTTTAATTTTTCTCTTTGGCAATTAATTAATTATCGAGCATCATTTGATAGTAATAATTTCCTGGTACGAATCTTTTTCCATGTCTAAAATATTAAAAAATATGAAAATAATAAGTAAATAGTAGAAATCCCATTCTAAAATGTTTAAAACAAGCAGAGATTGTGTTTTTCGTGCAAAAATTTATGATGCCCCTATCTATTCATAAAAATCCGGGCTCTTAATTCGGTCAAATATTCACTCGAATTAATTAATTCTCGGGATCCTTTTTTTCAAATGATGGGGACTGCTAAAAATAAAATATCGAAATCTACTTGAGGATATTTGTATATTAGATATCATATTTAATTTACTTGCTCAACTACCTGAAGAGGACTAGGTTAAAGGTAATTTTAGGAACAAAATATAAAAAAAAGAAATTTTTAGATAAAGGATCCTTTGTATTTTTTAAAATTTTCTCTTTTAAAAATTACCTCAACTGCCATCGGCCATTTGCCAACGATCTAAGTCTTCTATTTTGGTATTGCTGTTCAATCTCTTCCTGATTCCCTCCCTCATCTTTAGATTCAGCACAATTAAAAATAACCAAAATAAAAGCAAAAACAATTAAAGCAATTGAAAATCTCATTTTTTTGTCAGAATTTTTATTTATTTTTTGAATTTTTTGTGAGCTTTTTAAAGGTTTAAAAGGCCGTCGAAAATGATAATGAAGAATATAAAATGAGTGGGAGAGAAGGGGGAAGGGAAGGGATTTTATTTTCGAGAGATGCAAATTACGGAAGCCATTCTTTTTTTACATTAATTTTGCCTTTAAAATTTAGTTGAAATGGGATAGTGTCTAAATAAATATTTTTTTGGTATGAGAGTATTTTTTAATGAAAAATTTGAGGAAAAAATTTATTTTTGATGATATGGCTTTTCCTTCCCAATAAAACATTTCCTTTTAAAAATTAATTGGGAAAAGTATTTTTTAATTGAAATTTTATATTTGGTTATTTTTTCTGTTTCCTCTTAATGAAAATTTTAAAAAAATTTTGAAATTGGTTCTTGGTCTTTTTATAATTGACCTTTCCAATTTTTGACCTCCGTCTTCAAAAAGGAAGTTGAGGGGGGTTGTGCCCATAACTTCATTCTGTTCAAAACGTCAAACACAACTTCTCATAGTCAGAATCTCCGTTTGGCACACAAATCTATTCTCCCTGCTCTCGAAACTTTCAGAAATTATAAATGACGAGTGATGTTATTTAAAATTATTTACTATGATGCGAGTTAAAAATTAATTTAATAATATTATATTTAATTTTTTAATCCCTTCAATTAATTAATTATTAAATGATTTCACTTTTAATTTAATTTAATATACGTTATATTAATTTATTTAATTATTTTGATATTTATGTATGGTTTCCAAAAGTATTTCCAGGAAAATGGAATTAATTTAAAAAAATGCTGTTAAAAACTCGGCAAACCCTTAAGTATAATAAATTTAAAAAAATATTAATTATCCTCCCTAGAAGTAATTGCTCCCTTTCAATTACCCCCTTCCACCAATTACCCACTTCTCCGGCTAGAACTTGAAAAGAGTTATTCGAGAATTTACGGTAAAAAGTGATCAGAACCTTCGATTAAAAATTTTTTTTATCAAAACCGAGATTTTCTATTGATCACTACAAAAGTCTCTACCGACAATTTTTATCAACAATTTATCAGATTGATCTTTTTCTTCTTTTCCCTTCTTTATTGAACTTTTTACTCTTTTTAAGGTTTTGCATAACCCCCGTATATATTCCTTCCCTATTTTTTTCAACTTTAGTCAAGGCCATTTGTAAATATAACCACAAATTCAAATCATTCAATAAATATATATATATATCGGTCATCAATCATTCCACAATTTAGTAGTTATGCTGCGCATTTCAACGAAGGGCAATCGAGCAAAGAAAATCGAGAAAGAAATTTAATCGTTTTGAATATTTTTGTTTTTATTATACCTTTAAAACAGGCAAAAAGGTAGCTTATTTCAGAGATATTATACTTTTTCTGAGATTTTTTTGAATTTCTTTTTGAAATTAAATTAATATTTTTTAAATTTAATTAATTTTTCTTTTAAACAAAAATTTATTTTCCCTCCACAAGGCGTTTAAGGCGGGATATTTGCGGACACAATTTATTTATTTCAGAAATCCTGACTCTACTGATTTTTAAAACTTATGTCTCCTTATTTTGGATAATTATTATACTAAATTATTATAAATATTTTATAAATCAACTCAAAAAGTAGAAAATTTATTTATATTTAATATATCTCAGGCAGTCCTCCACAAATATCCTTTCCCGTTTTATTTTTTCTTCTTTTATTATGCAAAAATAAGGTTAATTTACAATGTTATTTATATCTTCCTTCTCATAACCTTTACTACATTTATTTTTATTTTGCTTTCTTCCCTTCTTTATTGTCTACACACCAAGATGCCAATTTCCTTATTTTTCATTTTCTTGGGGGGTTTCTTTTAATTTTCGGCCTTCTCCCAGTTGGCCATTAATTACTACAATATATATTGGCCATTCCTTTAATTATTATAAAAATAATTTTTATATTAATTAGTGGGTGGAAAGTGTAAGTATAAAGTTTATTAGTAAAAGGAAAATTTAAAAAAAATTGTCTAAAAGTCCGCAATTATTTTCTAAAAAGTCCGCAAATATCTAAAAGATTTCTAAAAGATCCGTAGCTTTTTTTGGGGGCTTATAACTCGGTCCCCGGTACCACTTAGCGGAAATGGTCGAAATTTCACAACTAAAGTAGGGCATGATCTACCTTTCTACCAAATTTCATTCCGAAGTCCCGCGGACACTCCAGGCACTCTCCTTTGTCAGGCAATTCACTTCTTTCTGCAAAACTTTTTTCCTTTCTCCCAAAAATATTCTGACTATTTTTCTCAACAATTCTTTACAGACTTAAATAATTCTAAAAATAATTTTGAGGATTACATTCCAAGAATCCATCCATCAAAAATAACAATTTCGTTCCTCAATTTTTCCTTTCATAAATACTGAAAGTTTAAAAGATTTTGTTCTTAAATAATAATTATTTGTGTATATAATTTATTTTAGTATTTAAAACCAAGTAAAATACATATGTATATAAATTACTAAAATTAGCCTTTTTTAAGAATTTAGAGTTAAAAATGTTTCTCATTTTCTCCATTTACCAAAAATATTTAATAATTGAATGAGAGATATTTTTCCAGAAGAATTGCAAAAAAATCAGAATTCTTTCCGGAACTACATACATATTACCCTTCTCTTAAATTTATATCTTTTCGGAAATCGTTTATCCGCAAATGGTTGTCCGCATTTTGCATTAAATAATATTTTTCCTTAAAATTTTTAAATTAAATATTTTAAACTTTTTGTATCATTCTTTAAGAAAAATTAATATTTTTACAGATCTACATATAAGAAAAATCCAAATTTTTCCAAAA